GATGTCTCTCCTGGTGCCTGGACCGGAACTCCTTGCTGCTAGGTGTCTCGTAAACAAAGGACCTACCTAGCTTGCTGCAGGCAGGCTAGTGGGGACAAAGGAGCTACCACCCTCCCGTTTGCCTGCCGATTCGGATTCGGTCCTAGAGCCCGGACAGGCTGGGCTGGGAGATGTTATGTGGTCAAAGAGGGAAGGGAGTCAGACGGAGGGGGCGGGGAGGGTTGTGGATGCAAGCTGGGTGGGATAGGAAGAGAGAGCAATAGCAAAAAATTTTAAAGTTACATTAAATTGTCAGAATGTGGTGCTAATCCCAATATGTAAATCATATAAGTCTTTATGTTGATAGTAAAAACTGATGTCCCTCCAAGAGAACCAACATTGTTTCTGATTTATAATTTCCACTCTAGTGGTTTTTGCTTGACTTTTCCTGCCATAATAAATAGCCCTTTCTCTATAGATCAGGGTACTAACATGGGGTTCTGCAAGTTATTAAGTATGTCTATAGCAGTTAGTTATACATCCTGGAACTGAAGAGATAATGGAAAAAATAAATTTGGCAAGACATTAGACATAAGGGGGGCTGAGCTTCACTGATCATTTATCCCTTAAATTCCCCCATCCTGACTGACATATCACAGTGATGTTTTGGGTATTTTGAAATTAGTGTCACTTCAGACCCTCTACCTACCAATCTTCCAAAAGTCTATTTCCGCTTTCTCAATGCAAAGTCACCCTAGTTAGTAAAGCCATGGGACACTTTGACTTGTAGGATGTGTAACAGTATAATTATAGGCATACTCCCTTACACGAGGACACATATCCTCCACTTAATTCAAGTGAATATGGTTTGAAAATTGGCATTAGATGAAGAAATTGGAGACTCCTGTTTCTCTATTGTTATTATGTAGCCTAGTTTAACATGAGACTTAACCATGCAGCCCAGGCTGACCTTAAACTCATGATTCTTCTATCTCAGTTTCCTGAGTTCTGTGATTACAGGGATGTACTACCATACCTAAACTGCTGCTGCTGCTGCTGCTACTGATGCTGCCTCTGCCGTTTCCTCTACTTTCTCCTCCTTTTCTTCTTTGTCATTGTAGCCATCTTTATGATTCAAATTTCAGTATTCTTTACTTGGCCTAGAATTCTTCAACATAGGAAAATCAAAAAAGAATTTAATAAACCTTCTAGATATATTCTATTTCTTTTCACAATGATCAATAAACTAAAACTACATACATATTTCTGACTCTGTGCACTAGACTATTCTGAGCACGTCTTTGACTGTAGTGTACATTACTGTAACTGTAGTCCTATCAACTTTGATGTCCTGTGCCACCAATGGGTTGGTAGCATCCCAGACTCTACTATTCTATTATGATGAGGAATTCCTTTGTGATATATTTTTTTTGTCTATAAAAAGAAACCACAAAGTTCTTCAAGAACATTAGCCATAGGATTTAGAGAATTATATTATTTAATCTTTACCTAAAATTGCATATATGTTTGTATACATTTTAACTAAAGATATGTCACTTGTGATGACAATACTTTACCCCCAAACCATACACACTCTAATGAAGGACACAGTGCCAAACAAGGGAAACCCCCTTTTAGGGTTTTTCAGGAAACTCAAAGACAGACTTTGGTCTTATGACTTATAGGTCATAGTCATTGCCCTTTGTTGTCTTCCATAATAAAATAGTAAGACCCTATTGGTGAAGAAACCACATACTTTAGAGACAGGACTTGAGAAACCAAACTTGGTTATGACCTGGAATCCTCCTCTCCAACAACTACCTCTCATAGTATGTGAACAAGTCATGCAAGCTGCTGAGAAATTAAAGAAATCAACAGTCTTATCCAGCTGTGATGCCAAAGAACCACAACAATGGCCAGCATAGATAGATGCTACAAAAGATGCATCAGTGGTGCTTATAGCTTGGGGGTATGCAATAGGCACCTGATTGGATATGAGGAGGGAATTCATGCTGTACAGTAGGCTGAATCATCTACTCATGGCTGGTGAGGCAGTGGAACCTCAGCGAGCACCTACTACTGCCATTTTCTAAAACCACTGTAATTTCAAACTAAATTTTAAACATTTATACTTATATCAACAGAAAAAAATGTAGTTTTTCCCATCATCAAAGAAGGTTTCTTTTTTTCTTTTTCTTTTCAGCGCCAGTAGTAGAGAGAGGCCATTATAGAAAATCAAAGTGCCGTTAATAACTGACTATCAAATACCCTTCCCAGTTAATAAATTTGTAACACAAATCTGATACCTAAAGCTCAAGGACTGTAATGGAAGAGGAAACAGAAAAATTGTAAGAGCCAGAGGACCAAGTGATCGGTTACAAGACAACATCTTCTTTTTCAAAAAATTCAAGAGAAAGAACACCAAAGTACAGGGGGTAAGGAGCAGGGAATGGATCTGCAAAGAGTTTTAACAAGGAGCAAAAGTGAATATGATCAAAATGCAGTGTATGTAAATCTCAAAGAAATAATAAAATGCATTATTTTAAAATGAATGTTGGCAATCTCTAATAAACCTTTTTATTCATGTTCATGGCAAAAGAGTGTGTGTTATCACTCTAACATTCTAATCTCCATAAGCTTATTTGGCCTAATCCAATGCTATGTCCTTCACCCTTAGACTCCACCCTTCGTATCTATTACTTAACATTTCACTCAAGTTCCCATCTGTCTAAATTAGAAAACTCATACAGTTCTTGTACATCTTAACAAACATCCTTATGCAACACACCTCATCTTTTAGTGCTTGCTGGGACTTGAGTTTAATTACAGACCCAGAATTAGCAGAGATATAACTGTAAGAACCCAGGAAGATACTTGACTGGTGCAAGACAACCTTGATATGAGATTCTGTAAGAGTTTCTTTGGCAAAGGAGAGTTCTTCCTTTGATGAGACTGTTTCTACTGACAAAATGAACTTGGCTAACCTTAGGGTTTCAGTGTCTTCAGGTCTTAAGCATTTGACCATTTACCCCATGTCAATTTTGAATATCCCCTTCTTTCCCAATTAATGTCTTCACTTATGAAGTTAGAAGTTCTAGTTAAGCTGTAACTTGCTCAAATGAAGGCATCTAGTTTCGACTTTTCATCGTGTCAATTCTGTCACTACAGGGAAGAATCTTTCAGAGAAGATTTTGGTGTTTTCAAATCATTACTTCACTTGAACTAGGAATTAAAAACCTCTAATTCATTCCTTTCTTTTTTCACTTGGCAAATTAAAAGTAATAGAATTCTTTAATCTCTGTAAACTCACTATTTTATAAGGATGCCCTAGGGTACCCAGCCAGGTGTCATAGTACACTTGAGCTGTCATCTCAACACTTGAGAGGTAGAATTGTGAGGATCAGGAGTCAAAGACTAGTCTCAGCAACATAATGAGTTCAAAGCCTCCCCTTTGTATGTGTTCACCAAGAGATTTCATTGACACTATTCAATCATGCTCTTTTATACCTCTTGCCATATCATCCTATATCCTATCAGAGTCCTTTTTACTACTAGAAATAGAGACATCAAAACTCTTAAATCCAGTTACATTAGAGAAGAAATGTCAAAATCCCAAAACTATTTCAGAAAACTTGTAAGACTCTGCTTCTCTGGAATGACTCTCAGTAGCAAAAATCAGCTAGGGTTCTCTGAAATTAAAACTAAAAATAAACAGAACATATGGGATATGACATTTTCTCTTTCTGTTTTTATTTTGAGATTATAATACTATTACAGTATTTTTCCCTTTTCTCCCCCCAAACCACCCCATATACCTACCCCTCCTTGCTCTCATTCAATTCTTGGCCTCTTTGCCATCAATTGTAATTGCTGAAGAGAAGGTGGAAAGATTCTAAGAGCTGGCAGATAAGGGGATTTCTTTGAGGCTGTCTTTCCTAGTAATGTCAGAAGCTACATCCATGAAGTCTCACCAACATGGCTGCCTAAACAGGACCTGAACAAAGACAATGCCAACAGACAGGCTAACATGGAGAGGGAAAGCTCACAAGGCCTCAACTTTAGGCAAATAACTACAGGCAACTAAGTAAACCAGAGAGCAAGAGAAAAATGTCTTCCCCAGGGAAAAGCATCAATTGGTTATTCAGTCCCAAGTGATCAGTTCTGAAGACATACATACAAGTGTTATTACACAGACTGAGCAGGTTGTGGCTTCTCTTTCTTTTCAGTTAACCATCTTAGATGATTTTTCAGAGCTAGAAAGTTCAAACTTTGTGGCAGTGAGCCACGAAGCTGGAACGCCGGAAACACAGGTGATGTAGTCTTGAGTCTGGAATGTGCAGTGCAGACAACAGCTTCGAACCTCAAGTTACCAGTCTTCAGGCAATATTTTTTTTTTTGATGGAAAACTTGTGTTTTTCTCTCAAGGCCTTCAGCTGATTAGATGAGGTCCAGTTTCACTACTGATGTTAGTCTCTTTTTCTTAATAGTAGCAAATTACAAGTTAATTGTATCTATAAAATGTCTTCACAGCACCATTAACATGAGTGTTTAACAAAACAACTGGGCACCAGATCTCACATTCCTAACAAACTAAATATAGAAGTCCCTGAAATAAATTTTATAAAAAAGATAAACATTGAAGATTCTTAAAAGAACTCCAGTCGGGTAAACAAGTAATTTCAGCAATGCTGTGGTGTCATAACAGAAATTCACCAATAGCTGAGCTTGCCTATGAATGCCAAGATAAGAAACGTTAAAGCCTTTGATGCACTCAAGCTGATAAAGGAAACACTCAATAATTACAGCAGCCCAGATGATCTTAGAAGCTACTCTGGCACATCTAACATTCCTTATGTGGCGAGTCTCTACTGGAAGAAAAGTAATCAGAAAAGCCTCTAGGCTAACACAGCTGAGTAAAAGGGAACTGGCATGAACATTTGCAATTTGGAAGTTCTGCCTCAAGGCAGATTGAAAAGAAGCTAAAGATGTGTCACTATTTGTCACTCCTGCTGTGATGGTAGAAAAAATGTTGCAGCCAACTAATATGTCTGCCTGAGCTATGTTACTAATAAACACCACAGTGGATTTTCTGGATACAGAAGGAAATGTCAATATCAGCATGACATACAGACTAGCGAGCAATCCCAGTAGGGTCATGATGGCATTTGGAGAAGGTAAGACTAGATATTGGATGTATTTGAACACCAGGTACCTTCGGAGGTCTTTCATATGGTCTCGATGTATTAAAATGTGAAGTTGGGCAGGATTCCTAGAGTAAGGTAGAGAAGAAAAAATTTCTATAATATTATATGCAACACAACTTAACGCACTTGAAACTATAGTTCTGTGCATGAGAGTTAGTGGTTTTAATAACTTTCCCATGGTTAGACCCAGTTTCGTATTATATCACACAGGCATCTAAAATGACATCATACTTTTGGTGGCAATTGATGGCAAAGACAAAAATCTTTTTTTTCCAGTACTGGATAGAAGCACACAGGAGGCAGTGAGGCCAGCAGATCTGAGTTCAAGGCTAGTCTAGTCGACACAGTGAGTTCCAGGAGTCAGTTCTGTGTTAGAGAGAACTTTTCTCAAAGAAAACAAAACAGCAACTAAAAATCACATTTCTTCTGTTTAAAAGCTTTCTATATATAAACTGATGTCTCAGGGTTTCATCTTTTCTTCTGATCACTTAGAGTAACCAAAGAATTAAAAGAAATTTTCCTGAGGAGATTGATTCATATATCAGAATCAGGAAAATTCTTGGGGCAGATGTCTAGTAGAGAGAAAACAGTATTCTTCTTGATCAATGCACTAGAAATGAGAGGTAAATGTTACACTTACAATTTCTAAATGAAATTATGACAATATTTAAATGATCTCTCCTCCTTCACACAGAAATACTTTTTAAAGCTAACAACTGTTTCTTCTACAGTCGCCCACCCCGCCACAATAATTCTTCACATTGGTATCCTTTGCATTTACAAATAGCATGCTTAGAACATTTTTTCCATTCATCTGAAATCTCCTCTATGATTTCTGTCATATGTACCATCATGACACTAAGGAAGAGCATTTTGTGTGGCAGCTATTAAAACAAGAGTGACATGGAGAACATCCTCAAGGAAATCATTACACATAGATAGCATTTTCTAGTTAGGATTATCATTTCTGTGATGAAACAGCATCATCAAAGCAACTTGGGGAGGAAAGGATTTATATGGTTTATGCTTCCACATCACAGATTATCATCAAAGAAAGTCAGGATAGGAACTCAAACAGGGCAGGAACCTGGAGGCAGAAACTGATACAGAGGCCATGGATGGGTTCCGCTTACTGGGTTGTTTCCCATGCCTTTCTCATCCTGCTTTCTTATAAAACCCAAGACTACCAACCAACAGTGGCATCACTCACAATGCGCTGGACTCTCTCCCATCAATCAATAATTGAGAAAATGCTCTGCAGACTTGCCTACAACCTGATCTTATGGAGGCATTTTTTTCCTCAATTGTGGTTCCCTATTCTCAGATGACTTTTGCCTGTGTTTTGAAATGTAATTTGATACAAAGTATAAAGTAGGGGTATTTTCACTGCAAAGAAAATTATATAAAAATCTATGTTTCTGATAGTGTCTCAAAATTCCAGAATGTAGTTTGCTATGTGAGATGCGTAAACTTTTTTTTTTGTTCTCAAGACGGCATGACTAAGAAAAAATATGCATGGAAGACACAATTTAAAATGTCTAAGGTTCAGAAAGCCAATCTGAATGAGTTCCTAGATAAAGGTTAATAATAATCTTCAGCCTATCAGGGTCATTAAGTTGTGTTGTCTGTAGGGATACTTTATTTGTATTTTTAATAAATAAAGCTTTCCTGAAGGTCAGAGTATAAAGCAAAGGCACTAGAGGTCAGGGAGTGGTAGCAAACACCTTTAATCCCAGAACGTGGAGAGGCAGATGGATCTCTGAATTCAAGGCTACCCTGAGCTACACAAAATCAATTGAGAAAAAGATCCAGGTGGTGGTGGTTCACACTTTTAATCCTAGTGTTTGGGAGTCACACACCTTAATCCTAGCACTAGGGAGGTGGTGTCAGGAGCAATGTAACTGGGCAGCAAGAAGAATATAAAGGGGAAAAGACAGGAACCCAGTGGAGTGTGGAGTCTGAGTATTTGTGGAGACAGGATTTTGCCCTTTTGATATGAAGATTAGGTAGAGGTAAAAGGTCTCTATAGTGGTTAGCTGCTTTGCTTTTCTAATCTTCAGCTTGAACACCAATATATGTCTCTGGGTTTTTATTTTTTGTTCTACAGTTGTCATACCTTTGTGATTTTCCAAGAGACAGACTTTTCAGTCAGATAATTCAAATTTGTGATGTTCAGAAGTGCTTACTTGCTCATGGAGTGTTCTGTTTTGTTTTTAACACCAGGTGAAGCAGAGCTCAACAGCTGCTTTGCTGCTTTTCATTGGAGTCCTACAAATTCCACCTCTAGCAAACAAAGGGATTATGAACCACTGTGCCTGATGAACAGAACTGAAAAACTACTCAACAAATCTGTAGCAAGCCAAATTCAGTATCGTGTTTAGAATCATACAACATGATAACATGGGATTTGTTCCTGGAATGAAAGTATGAAAGGTGTTTTTTTATTATTATTATTTTGCACTCCCTTAAAAAGTGATCTTAAGTTGGGCATAATGGCACAGACCTTTAATCCTAGTGCTTGGGAGAAAGAGTCAGGCAGATCTCTATGAGTTCAAGGCCAACCTTGTCTACAGAACAAGTTCCAGGACAGCCAGAACTGTTACACAGAAACCCTGTCTTGAAAAATTAAAATAAAAGTTAAAAAAAGAAAGAAAAAGTGATCCTAATTTTAGTGACTAAAAAGAGACAAGGCTTTTGTAGGCTCAGTAACTTAAACAAACTCGCATATGACTAAGAAATGCAGGAACTTCTAATACAGGCTTGTCTAAACAGCAAAGTTTTCCTCTTTGCAACCCAACATGTTTTCTAAGATTCTACAAGAACTTACCTTTGGATACTTTTCATTAATTTGAAATTACAGATTAGGATGTCAATATACAAAGAATTTTTCAAAAAAGTCAACCTTGCTATATTTCTTCTTTCACCACCTTTAAAACCAGTCCTTTAAATTCTTCGTTATTAAAGTAACCTTGGGATAGTTTTACAAAAACTTTAGGCAACTAAGGAAGGCTGAGAGTGAAAAAAAAGTTTCTCCAGGGAAGAGCACACCAATTGGTAATTCACTACCAAATAGTCAACACTGAAAACATATATCTAAATAACATTATGCAGACTGAGAAGGCTATGTTTAGAAATACAGATGCATATGCATACATGTATGCAATAACATTTTTTAAAGACTGAAAATTTAAAAGAAAATACAAAGGGGGTCATGGAAGTGATTGGAGGGAAAAGGGGAAGTAGAAATGATGTAATTATATTTCAATATTTAAAAAGTGGAAGGAAGGAAAAAGAATATTAGGTGATTGGAACAGGCATATCAAAAGACATGGGTTTCAAGCTGCTTACAAATGGAATAAAGAGAAAGATACTGGCTACAGTATGAAATACTGAAAGAAGAAAAATAAATAATGAAGACAAAATAAATGCCCAAAGAAAATTTCTTTTACTTGTCATTATGTTCAAAAGGATTTGAATCTCAAAAAACAACCATGTTTAGGTCAGGTCTTTTTTACTACCCCATGTGTCCTTTTCCATTTACCTCCTTTTCACTTTTAAAGCAAGGCCAGATGCATTATTCCAATCATCTTATAGAGAGAGAGAGGGGGGGGAGGGAGAGGGAGAGGGAAAGAAAGAAAGAAAGATGAGGGAGAGAGAGAGGGTGAACTGGAAGAGCACACCCCCCCCCCCCAAAGAAAAAAATCAATGGACAGCTAGGCTAATCTTAGGCTAGTTATCACATTTATGCATTTGTCAATGAGAAAGGGGATTGTTTCATGAATAATTCTTAGAGGAAAGTGGGCCAGGGCAGGCAATGGAGTCAGAAAACTGTTGTTTAGAATTCTGTAGATGGCCATATCTCCTGATCTGGGCCAGGAAATCCCACTTCAAAGACCCTTGCATGAGTGAGTACGTGCAAATGTCAAGTTACATCACGTCAGAAGGATGTGAAACCGAACAACTCCGAACCACACAGAAGTGTAGCTATGTACTATGATTTCTATCAAAAGCAATCTGATTGTGTTTATCGCTTTGATTGTGGTAATATCTTCGTATTTGTGTGTGTATGCTCAAATTTGTCACTTTAAAGGTGATCACTTTTATAAGTTATGTTTCATTACTTATTTTAAAAGAGAAATGTAACTCCATTTCCAAAACAAAATAAAGCAACCTGAAATTTGATCGTGTGAATTAAAGTTGATGAACTAACTCTGTTTACATTGCCAAGCATAATTATGGGTTCTCACAAAATACAAAGTGATTTTTTAATAAAAGTCAAGTGAATTGTTTTCTGAAGTCAGACTAGTCGAACTGTACAGTTTCGTTTCTTAATATAGCAAGACAGTGTCTAATCTGTACTATATGACACCAAAGATAAAAATATTTGATACATATTTATAGCTTGCCCTCTGTCAGTTCAGAATTTAGAGGAAGAACACAACAGAAACGTGCATATGTACATGCATATGAAAATATTCTAGCGGGCAGTAACAGATAGTAAGAGTTAGTTACTTAATGAGTATACTGGGTACAACGATTTAAGGCAGCAACAACCAAAAAACCTTCACCTTCACATCTACTGGTAATTTGGCTACATTTTTTCCTTGGTATCCAAATTGACAAACGTGTTTGTTGAGATTAGTTACAGACATGCTTAATGCTTCTAGTTAGACATATTCAAAAATAGAGGTCATACTTACATGATGATGAAGAATCCAACCAGATACAAGGGGTTGGTGTAGGTAAACAGAATCAGGGTAAACTTTCTGTTTAGATGTCTTCTTTTCTGGGCTGCATTTCACTGGAAGTCGTGGGTAAGCTGTTCATCTAATGCCTCTGCCAAGGAATTTGCTACAGCAGATTTCACAGGAAATGTCTGAATCATTGCCTTTAATAGATTATGTGTGTGTGTGTGTGTGTGAGAGAGAGAGAGAGAGAGAGAGAGAGAGAGAGAGAGAGAGAGAGAGAGAGATGGAAAAGTTGATACTTCTATTTTTGCAGCAACTTCTTATTTTCCCTTTGAAGATGTGAGGAATGCAGTCTTCATCAGATGGAAAAACACCTGAAGTTTTGAACATGTTAAAGCTTGGCAATTAAAATCCTTTGTGAAAGAAGACAGGATATACATAAACAAATATCCACATGGAATTTTAAGGGCGAGTCTGAGTCTGAAGGATAAAATACCCTAAAATTCACAGCTTCCCGGTGATTCCATAAGAATTTATGCTAAGAAACGCACAGGGTGTTTTTTCTTCATTTTAATGGTATTTTTACTATGAATGTTGTGTGTGGCAGGATGGAGAAACAGAGATAGGCAGAAGGACAAGCACAGACAGATAAGACAGGAGATACAAGATACAAGAAGAGAGAAAGGGAAGAAGAAAGAAAAAAAGAAGGAAGGTTCAGGAATCTTAATCTGAATATTTAAGTAAAAGCAAATTCCAGGCCTGCAATGGAGCTTAAGTAACAATATTGTCTTGTATCAATGTTTGTCATCAACTTTCGCATAACACTTAAAAAAACCAACACACCCTGTACACTTATGAGCTAAGTATTCCATTTTCAGGTGACAAAACTCAGCAACACCAATAAAGCCACGACTAGCATCCACATTTGTGCACTCTTGACTGCAGACTCTTTTCATTGGAATAATAAAAAAAAAAGAAGTTTACATGTGAAACTGCAGGGGTTGGAAAGACAGCTCAACAGTTAAGAGCACATACTACTTTTAAAAAGGCAGTTTTATTCTTCACAGTCACATTGAACTTTTTATAGCTTCCTGTAACTCCATTCCCAGAGGATTTAACATCTATTTTTGACTTTCCCAGGTACCTGTATTCACAGGCACATACACATATGCAAAACTAAAAATAATTTTAAAAAATTTAAGAGTGGTTTGCCTGCATAAATGTGGATTTGCCACAATGTGTGCATTGCTCATGGAGGCCAGAACAGGGCACCATATCTCCGTGGAACTGAACTTGCAGATGGTTGTTAGGTTTCACGTGGTTGCTGGGAACCAAGCCTGGGTATTTTGCAAGAGCACCCGGTGCTCTTAACCTCTGAGCCATGTTTCCAGTCCAAAATAAATCATTTTTTAAAAAATGTGAAACTGTAAGGAATTGAGGCAAAGTGGGCAGGCCTCCAATGTGAGAGTGTGAGAGACCATAGAAATCAGAAACTTTAAAATGGCATCACAATTTCAGGGACCCACAGCCTTCCCAAAACCCCTCCCTACTTCCAACATATTTTATAGTTTCTTCTTAAAAGACTCTGCTATGTATTTTGTGGAACATCAACATTTTGCAGATCATCCAGCATTTAGTGTGGTAAAAATGTTCAACAGGAAGTGGGGACTTGCGCTGACAACATAATACCTATGGCACTGCAAACTCCTGTCTAACCAGGATTATCCCCCAAACAACTGGGAAAGGAACTGTTGGCAGCTGCTGGCTCCCAGCTGACATGTTTGTCCTTGATGATCTGCCACTGGAGAATGATAACAGACCTGTAGTCTATTTTATTATATGAGTTCTGGCACCAGCTCTTTTTTCCCCTCTGCCAAAGACAAAACATATTCTCAACTTCATTCCTTGATGAGTAGAACAGAGCTTCTGGTGGTCAAAAATTCCCTGCTTAATTTTTCTATGCAAGCTTGCATACATTTTTCTTTTTGACCAAAAGAAAAGAGAAAAAATGCCTTTGGTTTCGCCAAACCAAAATGCTTACCAGAAGTCTTCAGTAGTTTGGCTGGAATTAATATTAATATAATTAATTAACATAATATGTATTAAATTCCCATCTCTTTGAAAAGGACCATCAAAGCTCATACCTTCCTCCCCCTTAGTCACAAGGTTTGCTGCCTTATTTTCCGAGCCTTTCCTTTAGACCCATCAAACATCACTATGTAGCAAAAAATAATATGTACAAATACTTGATCATTCCTCCACATAAATTTTGGTTTCCCCCCTAAAAAGAAATTTTGATTTCTGTAGCTCATCACAGTACCTTACACATAATGTACTAAACTCTCATAGTTAGAATTTTGAGGTGTTAAATACATAATGCCATTACCTGGCACTGAAGGTATCTTCCCCAAATCATTAAGCAACATAAATCAAATTACAAAGTGTAATAACTCATACTAACTCTTAAATAAACTCTAACTGTACAACTCCCCAGCTTTGAATTTTGATCCCCACCTGTTTAAATAACATCATATCTAAACAAAATTGATAAAGAGAGAAAGAAGACACAGACTGAGACACAGTGACACAGACACAGAGAGATACAGAGAGACAGAAGATTGTCTTGTTGCCAAGAGCTTATCTGGTCCAACTGTTTAACTGTTCTGGAAGTAAAGTACTATTGAATAAAATAAGCAATAGGTAAAGAAATTTTGAGTCCTCTTTCTACCATGTATACAATTCAAACACCCTGAAAGTCCATATCAAACACAAAATGACTGTTTGGATCCTACAGATTATACTAAAGTCTTTAAGTGTCCTCCTCCCATCAGATTTATAACATTTATGTATTTAATCACATCATCAACACCCCCATTTAAGTCAGCAATAAAAATATTGAATTAGGATAGGAACCAAGATGGACCTCTTGTGATGCTTCATATTAAAGACCTGTCTCAGTCAACATAGATAAACCAAAATTTGCTCTTTGAAGATAATAATCAGTCATGAAACTTAGTGTTCATCCATACTCCAAAATACTAACTTATCCCTGAAAAGAATATTTTCTATAGAACAGCAGCCTGTCTTTATCAAAAATTAAAAATTAATTAATCAATTAAGAAAATAAAAACAAACAAAGAAGCCAAAAGCACCAGAGACGCTAAGAGCAATGACTGGATATGAACTTGGGCAACTGAAGGAAAATAGAGTTAGAGTTTGGAAACCAGACACAATTCTCTGGTATCTAGATGCCATAATTCAAGTAATAGTACTCTTTACCTTTTCAGGGGAAACATGAATCACCCTCTAATCTTTTCAACTTCTCAAACTTTATTTTTCTTCTAAGAAAAGAAAATGGTCATTATTGTGAATAATGGCATGAGGAAAATGCAGAGAAAGTGATCAAAGGGAAAAAATTCATTTGGTATTAATATGTTTTTAAAATGCAGAGAGCGTAGCCTGGGGCCTATATTTCATGATACTTTTATATTGTTGAAATTTGTCAATACTGTAGATCTTAGGGGTCTCACCATTAAAGACATGTAAACAATATCTCCCTAAATCAAATCCTTACTTTGTAAGGTCTACCCTCTTTATATCCTCACAGATATATTAACTAAATTTCCAAACTGAGGAAACTCATGAGATTATCTACTATAATGACACCTTTCATTTACCAGATGATGAAAGCAAGTTCTAGAAAATGCAAATAATTTGGCATAGGGCCTACAGAAAACTAGCATATGAGTTGAAAGTAGAAGTTCTTTTCATATCTTTTGCCAGAATATCTTTCCATCATGATTCAGAATCGCATGGAGGCTAAAAAGTCTCCCTTGTCATTGCCACAAAAATGGAAGAATGGATGAAGAAGTATGGAATATATACATATTAGAGTAGTACTCAGCAGTAAAAAAACAATGACTTCTTGAATTTTGCATACAAATGGACGGAAATAGAAAACACTATCCTGAATGAGGTAAGCCAGACCCAAAAAGAGGAACATGGGATGTACTCACTCACATTTGGTTTCTAGCCATAAATAAAGGACATCGTGCCTATAATTCGTGATCCTAGAGAAGCTAAATAAGAAGGTGAACCCAAAGAAAAACATACAGGCATCCTCCTGAATATTAACCTTTATCAGGCGATGAAAGGAGACAGAGACAGAGACCCACATTGGAGCACCGGACTGAAATCTCAAGGTCCAAATCAGGAGCAGATGGAGAGAGAGCACGAGCAAGGAACTCAGGACCGCGAGGGGTGCACCCACACACTGAGACAATGGGGATGTTCTATCGGGAACTCACCAAGGCCAGCTGGCCTGGGTCTGAAAAATCATGGGATAAAACCGGACTCGCTGAACATAGTGGACAATGAGGACTACTGAGAACTCAAGAACAATCGCACTGGGTTTTGATCCTACTGCAAGTACTGGCTTTGTGGGAGCCTAGGCAGTTTGGATGCTCACCTTACTAGACCTGGATGGAGGAGGGTGGTCCTTGGACTTCCCACAGGGCAGGGAACCCTGATTGCTCTTTGGGCTGATGAGGGACGGGGACTTGATCGGGGGAGGGAGAGGGAAATGGGAGGCGGTGGCGGGAAGAGACAGAAATCGTTAATAAATAATTAATAAAAAAATAAAATAAAAATATTCCTATTTGCACCATAAAAAATTAAACTATATACTTTTTTTCTCTCTCTGTGTGTAAATGTCTCTGTATGTATGCACATGCATTTGCAGGTACATGTGCATATGTATGTACACATATGAGGGGAACAAAAGCTGCATCAAATATTCCTCAATAACTCTTGACTTAATTTTTTGAGACAGAGTCTCTTGTTGAACCTGGGGCTTAGTGATTTGGCTAGACTGGCTGGTTATACAAGCCCCATGGATATTCCTGTCTCTGCCTCCCCAGTGCAAGAATAACAGACAGGCACTATTGCACCATCCTTTTTCTATTGGTACAGGAGATCAAACTCAGGTCCTCATGTTTGCAGGTCAAGCATTTTAGTGATTGAACCACCTGTCCAGGGCCTATACATTGCTTTTTATATGTTTCTTGGAGCACTTCTATATTTGTCAAGCTATGCTTTCTTTGACGCTAGCTCTCTTTTTCACCGGTGTTGAGA